GAAGAAAGAGGGCACACGATTCCCAGCTTTTCTCAATTAGTCTAGTCTGGATTTTGACCTTCCTTTATAGTGTTCCCTGCCTCTGCTTTCTCTATCTATTTATGATTCCCCCTCCCAAATATTTTCAAATATATAAATCTTGAGGACTTGCTACAGCCGTTTAATTTCATCCTTTACTCTACTTTGAAGATGAGAAGGAGGATCTTTCTTGGTTCCTTCTTGAGTGATGGCCATGTAGTGGGAAATTATGGATTCGCGAGCCTTTCTTGAAATTAATGCCGAGGTATTTGGGAGAGGGGAGAGTGTGTCATTTCTTTTGTCACAACAGAGAAGGTGGTAGTGTAAAAGAAGGCGTCATCATGTTTGAGCAAAGGAGGTTGCCTTTGTTTTCCTTCTGTGCTAGTGTTCAGCATGGGTCATTTCCATATTTTTTACTGCGAGTCGCCATGTAATGTGATCCAACTCTAGTCTTCTTTTGTGCTAATTTGATGCACTTCATATCATGCATGGTACCGCGAACTTGGTTATCGGTAGTGCGTTTTATGGTGTGATGTGAAACAAGTACCAGGTTTATTTCAAATCCCATTTGAGCCTGTTTTCAAGGGCTGATTTTGAAAATCTACAAATACGCACAACCAACTTACAACAGGGTAGAAATTGTTACAAACATTTGCTGATTTTTATGGTGGCAGTTGGATTCTCTAGATGTGGAAGATGGGAAAGGGCCTTACATGATAATACTGTGTCAACAAGTAGTACCTCATGCCAACTTTGTTCATATACCACTGTGCTCAGTAGTGAGGGGAATAACAGAGGTACGTTTGACACAGTCCTTCATCGTCTGGCAGTTTCTATTTCTTGTTGAAAGAAGCAGTTCTTTCATGACAGTATTGACCTGGGTATGTGCTGAGCTGAGGTAAAAATAAATAAACGAATGAAGTCTAATATTGAAAGGATAACTAAACTAACTGAACACATGCTTTTTCTTTTTCTCTCTAGTGCCCCAAAATGCGCCGTCACGCATTTGAACTCAAGATGCTAGATAAGTATAGCCATTATCTGGCTGCTGAAACTGAGCAGGAAATGGAGGAATGGTTGCTAACTTTGAAAAAGATTATTCAGATCAATACCGACAGTTTAGTGCAAGAGAAAAAGGAGACAGTAGAAACAACCCAAGGTCAGAATTTTTAAATGATTCATTATCGAGGTAAAGCTCTTATCTTTAATCTGTGGGAATGTCCTTTGTGTAGGGTGAATACAGAATTCTTAATCTTGAAGGTTGACCTACTTCCTCATTAGAAATAACTATGGAGCTTGGTAGGTTTTTTTTTTAAGAGTTGATGCTGCATGGGTTCTGACACATGAAATATAACCAGACTCAAACGGATAGGGAATTCATGGCAGATTGTCAAAAGCCTGTTAAGGTTTTCCCTGTGCTTTCATAATCAAAATTCTTTGCAGTAAATCTAGTAGGAGAGGATGGGGTGAGAGAGATAGTTAGGATATTCCTCTTAGGTGATTAGTAATGGTCTGCATGGTTTGGAACATCTGCTTTTAATGAATTTGCAGAAGATGAAACTAGCAGCCAAGGAAAAGCCGAGAACATCATGGCCAGTTTGGAAAGGAGCATGCATCCGGAACTGATGAAGGTACATCTTTCTTATGGCAACTTGCCTTCAACTGAGGCAATGCAGGGTTCGCTATTAAAGTTTTAATGCTGGATTCCATTTGGCAATGTCATTTCTAAGTTAAAAACCACAGCAAATTAGTGAAACAGGTAGAGATTGTAAGAGAAAAGTTATACTCCTAAAGTTGGACTTAAAGGGCCAGCTAACAGTTTGGAAAATCTTTTTTTTTTTTTTTCTAGATGTCAGAAGGTACTTTCAGATTTTTGTGACTTTATTGATGTTCCTTCTTATTCAGCATAATTACTATATGTCATCCATAAAGTAAATATTCTTCATTCAAGGGGCTATTGATACAGATCAAACATGATGTTCAGTCTAATGATTTGCATATGTTAACTTCATATGAAAATCACATGTTCTGTCTATGTGTAAATACATATGTGTATATACATATGAATAATTTCATCAGATAAAGATTTGGGTGACCAGGGGTGCCTGGGTGGCTCAGTCGGTTAAGCGTCTGCCTTCGATTCAGGTCATGATCCTGGGGTCCTGGGATCGAGCCCCGCATCGGGCTCCCTGCTCCACGGGAGGCCCGCTTCTCCCTCTCCCACTCCCCCTGCTTGTGTTCCCTCTCTCGCTATCTCTCTGTCAAATAAATAAACAAAATCTTAAAAAAAAAAAAAAAAAGAAAAGATTTTGGTGACCAGACATCATTTGTGATAATTACTCTGCTCTTTGGAGTTTGAAATGAGCTAATTTAGAAAGTGTAGAGGCGATTATCATACCTATCTTAATAGGTTACATATTTTACTATGTGGACTCTATACTATAGAAGAATAGAAGGTTATAACCCATTTATTCATTTAAATCCTCATTAAACCTATTTATATTTTTTTACTTTGTTCCTCTTCCTAGACTACTAAGTTACACAAGCTCAGAAGTTATTTCTTCTACTTTATTTAATTTTTTTCTACTTTAAATTTATCCTTCTCTTAACAAAAAATTACGCCCCTCAAACTTCATAGTTTTCCAAAACTTAGGAACACACTCATGATCCCCTGATCTAGGTTTTCCATGATTTTGTTGATGTTAACATATCCTTTCTGAGTCTTTGACGTTCTAGGCTCTACAGCCCACTATGTTTTTCCTAAAGTGTTGGAATCAGAATTATGTATAATATCCCATGGCTAGCACGCTGACTATGGAAGAGAGAGTGTTTTGTCATTTGTTTTTCTTTTGCATTCAAATCTCTTGGATTCCTTTTTTTTTTTTTTTTTTTTTATACTCCGGTGGGCTGAGCAATATTTTTGATGTCCTAGAGACACATAGAAAGTGTAAGAACCTGATCTGTAGCTTATCATGGGTCCTAGTGATGGTGACTCACCCAGCAAGCGTTTTTTTATCCATCTTAAGTAAATGGAGATGGGGAGTAGTATATTTCTGAAGATCTGTCAGATGGTGGTTTCCCCGACGAGATATTTTTAAGTAATCTTCACACCCAAGGTGGGACTCGAACTCACGATCCTGAGATCAAGAGTCGCATGCTCTACCGACTGAGCCAGCCAGGTGCCCTGCACAAACTAATTATTTAAATGTTATTTACTGGGTTGGTGAACACGTTGACATGCTGGGGTATGGCATGCCTGGAGAGAGCATGAAGGCACTGTGCCCCCTGTTCCCATACTTTGTCTATGCATTTCTTCCATTTGGCTGCCCTAAAGTTGTATTTTTTAAAATAAAAAGGTGATCGTAAGTACAGAGCAAAAAATAAATAAATAAATAAATAAATGTTATTTAATACTCATTTGAAGGAAGTGAAGTAATGTTTGGTGTGTGTATTTTTAATTTTAGTATGGCAGAGAAACTGAACAGCTAAACAAACTCAGTAGAGGGGATGGAAGACAGAATCTCTTTTCTTTTGATTCGGAGGTCCAGGTATTAATGATATATTTCTTTAAATAACCATAGAATTGTTGCTTATTTAGATGAACAATGTCTGTGAAATGTTAAAATCTGTACCACTGGGCGATACCTATTGCTTTATATTCATCATGTTCACTTCGAACAGGTAGCCTAACTGACTTCCCTCAGGAGACTGGCACAGATGCAAATAGTTTGGGATTGAATGCACATGTTTTGTTTTGTTTTGTTTTTCCCCTCCATTCCCTATATTTCTTTTCACCTTATCTCACTCCTCAAAAGAAATAAATGAAAGACTGTTTAAAGTTGGTTCCTGCGCTTTTAACCCACTAAATACAAGTGTGATCTAGTAGCAGCGAGTATCTGCAGTATAAAGAACACCAAGTCATATGAAGAATGTGGTTTATTTTCCACTCCTGATGGAGGCCTTGGAACGGGGATAACGTTCATGTCTGGCTTAATCCCACTTTCAGTGGAAAGCTTATGTGTGTTTGTGTATCTCACCCTCTTTCATGAGAGTGAGGCCCCCTTTGTACTAAGATCTATGCGGCTCATATTTAATTCCCTATTTTCTGATCGAATTGCTGATTTGTTTAAATGGAAAGATTCAACTGTATGTAACTCTTACACATATTTTTCTTAACCTATTTCATGAGAAAAATGAAATTATTTGGGGAAAGATGAATTTTTTTTCACTTTTTTCTACATGAGATTTATAATTAAAATTTGGGGATTTTTTTTTTTGAAATAGAAAAGTTTGCATTATATGTGCATTATGGCTTTTTTATTCTCCGTGAAAATAGATCGTAAAAATGTAGTTGGGGGAAGACTGATTTTTGTTGTTTCTTCTTTGCTTCGAATGGTTTTCTAAATAAGTTTTTTTTTTTTAGTTTGAAATGGGAAAAGTATATAGTCTATATATAATGCAGACATTTTTCCTTAATAAAAATACCACACAAGAAAAAGAAATTATTTGGGGGAAATATTAAAAAAAAAAAGCTTTATCTCCTACTTTTTTTCATAGCAGTATGATACTGTTTGTGTAAGTTATGTGATTTAAAAAAAAAAAGTTTAGCTGGTCTTGAGAGTGTTAGTTCTAAGATACTCATTCAGAAAGTTGCTTGTTGCAGGCAAGTCTGAGCCTTTCATAGAGCCCCCCCCCGACCCGCCCCGAACCCCTCCGTGATTGGGCTCTAATTGGACATGTCAGGACCTTTCATTGTACACAAAGAAGCCAATTGACTGTGGTTGAAACTCAATCCAGTGTCTTTAAAAAAATTTGTGGTGTAGTGTTTTTGTGGTCATGGCAGTGAACTCAAACGTAACATCAGTTATCAGTGAGCTACGACAGCCAGTGAGGAATTCAGAGTTGTGATGAAACTTTAAAGCACGGAACAGTTGAATTTAATGTTGATTCCAAAAGGCAGCGTCCTCGCAGAGAAATGTGTGCTGTATGTGTTGAGTCTTAGCGCCATCCTAGGATTTCAGCCTTCTCTTTTGACCACAGTACGATGTTTAGAGAGAGATCTTTCTACCACTGACCTTAGAGAATAAGGAAACACTAACCGAAGGAGACAGCTCCAACTCGGGACTACTGGGAAAGGTCCCGTGTCCCAGCATTCGGACTCACGGGCCTCAGAAGGGAAAGGATTTGGGGGCTGGGGTGGTTTAGTTCAGTTTCTCTTCACATTCCACTGTCTGAATAAGGTAGAAGGGAGAGCAGATAAATGGGCGGAAATTAGAATTGATCTCCATGGTAATGACTTGCCTCTGCTGGCTCCAGAGGTAAGTGTTCAAGAGGGAGCTGTCTAGTTCCACACATTTGTATTTGGTTTGTAGATAAATAGACTCCAGGGGTGGGGGGTGGGGGATGGCACTTTCAGGTACGAATATTATACTTAGGCCCCTAGAAGGAGGATTTTGTCAGCGATGCAGGCTAGGTCAGAATGGCTATAATTATCCAACACTCTTCCAGCACAATACCTGTTTTGGCTTGAATTACTTAGGCAGTTGAGAAAGATTCTTGTGTTTCTTGGCTTGAGTTTTCCGTATTGGCGGTATATTCTATTCAGATTCACCCAATCATTTCCCGCCTGCCTTGTCTCGGGTCTTAAAGTATAGTAAGTGGTCCCACAATCTATACTTTTCCTCCCATTTGTGAACAGAACGTAAAGTCTGTTCAGATACTCAGAATGAACGGGTTGAACTCAGATTGCCTGAGCTATGTGAGCTGAGGAGGAGGATTCTAGGAGTTTCTTTGAGGAGGGACAGATTCCTCCCTTGCTGAAAGGAATCCTTGACTCCCAATATCTGTTTTTAAAACTTAAAAAAAAATTTTTTTTGAAATACCAATAATTAAAAAAAAAATTATCTCTGTGGCAGTCAGGACACATCCCCCAGCTCTGTTAGAAGCTGAGCTCAGTGTTTATCACTTTTCGAAGCAGACACCCCTCCCTCTGTTCATCGTTGAAATGTAGGTGGTCCGCAGGGTCTAGCTGCTGTTGACTCCCTACCTAATTCAGATCTCCAACCCAGACCTCTGCTGTTTCCCCAGCCACTTAGTAATCTCACCTCAAACTGGACACGTCCCGAACTGAGCTCACCATCTCCACTCCTCCCCCACATCTACCATTCCGTGTTATCTTGCAACCAAGTTCATGACACCACAGTCGAATTGTCGAATTGTCTAAGTTAGAGACCATCGTGTTATTCTTGATGCCTCTCATGTCCATTCATGGCCGTTTTGCCTCCCGTACGCCTCATAAAAGACACAGTCTCTACCATACTGGAACATGTATTTTGTGGGGAAGGCTAATAACAACTAAGGACATATGGAAAAGTCATGTTCGAAGACTTAAATCAAGGAAAGGGAGTATAGACTGTCAGAGTGTGCAGTCCCCTTAGGGAGTTAAGGAAGGTCTCTGTGGAAATGCCAGTGGATCGGAGACATGAATGAAATGAGGGAGTGAGCCATGCATCTGTCTGCGAGAACTGCAGATGCAAAGGCCCTGAGGTGGGTGTGTACTTGGTGTGTTGGAGAAATAACCAAGGAGGCCAGTGTGGCTGGAACAGAGAGTGGGGGTGGAGGGGAGGCAAGGGTGGTGGGAGATGAGGTCAGAGGATTGAGGGAGGTAAGGACTCCTGTCATATAAGGCTTCATAGGCCATGGTACAGACTTGTAACTTTTCCAGTGCTTTAGATCAGAGTTTCATCATCTCCCTCTAGGATTTCGCTGTCAGTGTTTGAACCTTGGTGTAAGAGCTCTAGAAAGACTTATTGAATGAAAAAAAGGGTTTGAATGAAGAATGGATAGAGAACCGTAGGATTCTGCAATTATTACTTATAGACCTATATTAATATGAATCCTGTTTTTTTGGAAATGATTTATCATCATCTGTTTTGTAGAGGTTGGACTTCTCAGGAATTGAACCTGATATAAAGCCATTTGAGGAAAAGTGCAATAAACGTTTCCTGGTGAACTGCCATGATTTAACTTTCAATATCTCGGGTCAAGTTGGAGACAATGCAAAAGGACCACCCACAAATGTATGTATGACTTTTCCTTCCACGTCCCTTAAACCAGCGCATTAAGGACATGCTTTGCTTTTTTTATCACTAGAAGTAATTTACGGGATGAAAATTCCATTGCTACGTGCTATGATAAATTTGACATGGAGGCATTTCATACATGCCTTTCTTTTGCCAAAATATGAATATGTTTTCATCCTGAGAGGATTCGTGAACATATCAACCTATTCAAAATGGCAGATAGAGTAGGCTCTTGACATTCAAAAGGGACATGTGTCCCCGAACCTGGACCATCCTCCAAGTTGCGAATTCTGCCAGAGAATGTGACTTCTTTTGTGAGACTGGCTCATCACAATGAGTGAGGAACCCGCAAACCAGGCGGGGATACAGATGCTGTGCAGCCTGCTAGTCTCACTCCTTCTCCCAGGGTGAATTCATTTTGTTCTTCACAGAAAAAAATTCTAATTATGAGCCATCGTGGATCATTTGAGTTACTCAGAAACACTTGAAACCGTAAGTGTAAAATCACCAAAGAGACTGCATTTTATGCTCACCTCTTTTTGGTTCTGGTTTTGTCTTTGACAAATATCCACAGTGATGATTTATTCTCTTCCAGAGTAGCTAAAATGCACTAGCAGACTTCCTGTGTATAAAGGGTTAATCTTTATGCCATTTGGCACGAAATTTCTCTTTGTGACCAGCTTTCAAATGCCATCTGTAGGGAGGAATCGTGTCTTCCGAAAGTGCTGATGGGGCAAAGCTTTTGTCAAGTCATTTGATGTTGACTGATATTAGCTCTTATTAAAGGTATAATCTAGTAAGCTGTAACATAACAAAAGGGAAGATTTATTTTTGTTCGATAATATTGGCATTGGTTTTTTTTTTTTTAAAGATTTTATTTATTTATCTGAGACAGAGAGAATGAGAGAGACAGAGAGCACGTGAGAGGGGCGAGGGTCAGAGGGAGAAGCAGGCTCCCCGCGGAGCAGGGAGCCCGATGCGGGACTCGATCCCGGGACTCCAGGATCATGACCTGAGCCGAAGGCAGTCGCTTAACCAACTGAGCCACCCAGGCGCCCGGCATTCGTTTTTTTTTTTCGGCGATTTCAGTAAACCCATGGAGAATTACATTTTATTCAGAGACCAATTGATGTTCTTTAAATGTGGCTTCTGCGTTCTACTCCTTTAAAGAAAGTGTAACTTGCAGAATTATTTATACCTGACAAAAGTTAACATTTGATAGCCTGTTATTTTAGAGCACTCCTTCAAAATAGATGCAAATGAGCCCTAATGCCATTTTAGCTAAATGCCGTACTCAGAAAGGAACTGCAATCGCAGAGCCTCGAGGAATCAAAACATCATTTTGTCATTGGCGTCCCTCCCCCACGCCCCCCCACCCCCCCCCGAAAAGTCTTCGCTTCCAAATGTCGTTGTTTTCATTCCCAGGTTGAACCCTTTTTTATCAATCTCGCCTTATTCGACGTAAGGAACAACTGCAAGATTTCAGCCGACTTCCACGTAGACCTGAATCCCCCATCTGTCCGGGAAATGCTGTGGGGCCCTTCAGCCCAGCTGGCTGGTGATGGAAACCTGACGAGCTCTTCCCTGGAGTCTTTCATTCATGGAATTGCTGAATCCCAGTTACGCTACATAAAGCAGGTAACGAGCCCCCCTTTAGCCTTCCGAGTGAGAAATCGGAACAGCCCCGTGGGTTCTTTCACCCGCTCAGACCGATGTTCTCCCGGGCATTCCCATCTCTTGTAAGGTCAGTGGCCAGGTGTTTTTCTGGGGACTGAAGTGGGAGGGACAGGATGGAAACCAGCGAAGTAACATTTTCAGTTGGGACCGTGATGTGAGCCTCAGAGGAAGCGTTTTGTGAGCTGGAATGTAGGTCACACCGACGGATGCAGGCACACCCCCACGCTCCTGTGCGGACTTGTGAGCAAGGCGGTGGGTGCCCGAAAGGCTTGTTTCTTCGAAGAAACAATGGACCCTGCCATAGCCCCCCCATCCCTAATTCCCAGCTCCGTTAGGAGTAGGTAGCTGGGTTTGGGTTTTGGTTTTTGCCTTGGTGTGCCGTCTCGAGTTCCAGATATCTGTTAAGATACCATTAGATTTTCCCATAGGACAAGAGCAAAAAGCACCGCCTTGCAGAAATTTAGGAGCTATGTACAGAACTTTACAGAACTTCAGCTGAAGCCTGGCTGCTGACCAGACAGTGGAGTTCTGAGTGTGTTCACGGAAGACAAGGAAATTAGGCAGGGAAGGGAAGGTGCCCGTCTGAATGAAACTTCACCGTCAGGGCAAGTCTTGTGACGGTCACATTGGAGGCTGTGTTTTTGGAAGGTTCGAGTACAGGACAGGGGTTCCGTGTGTCTGTTCGGCTACAGCCCTGGCTGAGGTGCCGTTAGATCAATGTTCCTCAAATTCCTGGCCTGCCAGACTCCCACAGCACCCAGACCCCCCAACACTGGCGATCAAATTCATCCAGAAAATCGTTCCTGTCAGTGGCCAAGTGGTAGATGCCCCAGAGCTAATCTCCCATGTTGTCCGGAATTTGGGGAGCTTCATGTGCAAGCGGGCAGTGTCCATGCTGACCCCACATGAATAGGTAGTTTTAATGGAGCATAAAGGCTCTTTATACGAGGAGTTCTGATTGAAGAGCAGTGGGAGGGGACGGCTTATGTCACATACATAATGCCGCGTTCTCTGTCCTGTCTGGTGCAAAGAAGCCCCTTTAGAAGGAGCCTGACACATCCCTGGCATTTTGACCTCCGACCACACTGCAGGCCACGAGAGGTTAGGCAGAACAGAATTGATGGTCTTCCTTCCCAACTTTTGCAACTAAAAGGAAACTAGACTGTGACACAGAATTGAAACTGGAAAGAGGCACAAGAACAAAGCAGCTCACGTTGTAAGATTTATTTTTCCCCCAATAAAAACGTGGTTCCTTTTTTTTTTATTATAAAGCTAAATGTATTATTATGTAGAAAACCCAAACAATACAAAACGCATAAAGAAGGAAAAGTCACCCCCCCATAGACAATAACTGTCAACATTTTGGCCAACCTCTTTCTAGACATCTCTGTGTTTATATAAACACATAGATCTTATGTATGTTCTTATACAAAATAGATCCTGTTCATGCCGTTTTATATCTACTGTATTTATTTAATATCACATTTATCCTATATCAGTATCTCTGGGTCACTCACATTCTTAAAGGCTAATGTGGTATTCCATCAACCTAGCTAATTGGGATATTTGTCATTTTGGGATATCATAAATAACACTGCATTGAACATCCTTGTGCATGCATGTTAGCTCACTTGTTGAATTATCTCCTTAGAATAAATACCAAGCATTGGGGTTTTCTGGGCTCGGGATTATGCTCATTGGTACAGATTTTACATGTGCAGTTACTTCCCTCTTTGTGCTCTGGATCTGTGGTAGTTTTATATCGCCTCTTTTTTTTTTTTTAAAGTTTTATTTATTTCTTTATTTGTCAGAGAGAGAGAGAGAGAGCACAAGCAGGGGAAGGGGCAGAGGGAGAAGCAGGCTCCCTGCTGAGCAAGGAACCTGATGCGGGGCTCAATCCCAGGACCCTGGGATCATGACCTGAGCCGAAGGCAGACGCTTAACCTACTGAGCCACCCGGGCGTCCCCATGTCGCCTCTTAGTTTGTTACTCAGATAGATTATGCTTGTCACATGTGTGAACATTCACTACTATGGCGTATGCTTCTAGAAGAGATTGAGCAAGTACAGTATAAAAGTATTTGAGAACCTGCCATTGAATTATGTGTAAAATTTTCTGCACCATATCAAATAAGCCCTTTTAAGCCAATGACGTATTTACTTTATTTCTTCAGTGTACTTAGCTGTACGTTCAAGGCATGGAGTTTAAGTTGTGGTTGTGGGCATCATCCCACTTGTAATCTAGGTCGGGAAGAAAATCAACAGTTTTTTCAGTATCTCCCGTATGCCAGAATTTCCCATCAGTGTCTCATGTAATCATCATAGTCTTGTGAAATAGTGTACTTACGCTGTTTTGGAGGGGAGGAAAGGGCAGATCGTGCGTGAAGTAAGCTGCCCACCATTACACAGCCCACAGCCGTGAAGGCAGGATTGGAACCTGGGTCTGTTGGAAAGACCCCAGTCAATAATGGCCGGCAGAATGTAGTTAACATACTGCACCCTGTCACACAATGGTAGCAGAGGTGTTTGCAAGGCAAGGGGGGTTCGGGGGGTGGGAGTTAACTTAGGGGGCTGCACAGAAGATGTGGGACTTGGGAGAAGAAGCCTGAGAAGCACAGAGGAAGAGGTGGGAAGATGACCCAATGGGCAGTGGCCTCAGATGGCTTTATTGTCTTACAACCTTTTCGGACCAACTGATGAGACCGGGAAGTGGTCATTTACTTCAACTAGTTGAACATTTTATTTTGGAGAAGTTTTTTTCTCAACTTCTTCCCGTTTAGGATGAGGAAGCAGTGCTGTGTCGGAGAGAGACCAAATGTAGGCAGATCTGAACCCGAATCCCAGCTTGTCCATTTTTCAGCAGTGACAAGTTTGGCACTTCCTTATTTTTGTTTTTTAAGATTTTATTTATTTATTTGAGAGAGAGAGCAGAGAGGGAGAGCACATGAACGGGGTGGGGAGGGGCAGAGGGAGAAGCAGACGCCCCGCTGAGCAGGGATCCCGACGTGGGACTTGATCCCAAGACCCAGAGATCATGACCTGAGCCGAAGGCAGACGCTTCACTGACTGAGCCCCCCAGGCACCCCAAGTTTAGCACTTCTTAAGTGCCACTGTATTTCTCTTGCTTCTTTATCAAGTCCCTTATTTTCATAACACCCCAGCAAAGTAGGTGGGTACTGTTACCATACCCATTTTACAGATGAGGAAATTGAGGCACAGGACCCGTCCAGTAGCTTGCCCAGGGTCACAGAACTTAGAAGATGAGGAACAGGACCTGAAACTAGGCCTAGCAGGTTTCAAAGGGCAGGCGTTTACCCCTGTGTTGTACTGCTTCTGTGCTACCCGGGAGAGAGGGAGACTGCCCAGTTCCCCAGAGTTCCCAGAAAGGGCTGTCTGGTGGCCCCAGCCCTTCCAGCAAGGCTGCTCGAACGGCAGCATTATCTATAGGAAGAAGCAGCTCCCAGGGTTTGGTGGACAGTGGGTGTCTGGGGGCCATTCTAGGCCCTCCCCATCTGTTCACTGGAGTCTTTCTCTCCAGTGGCCTCCTGAGGGACAATGGGGTGACCACAGGAAAGGAGGGACTTGGGTCCATTGAGTAGTTTTGCCTCCCTGACCTCAAGCAGTCACCATGACCAGTCACTTTCTTCCCAGCTGCCCTGACAGAGCTCGGCCCCCCAGGTCTCCCAAGGTCAGACCTGATTGACTTTGGGTTGGGGTTGCGGGGGAGATGCTGACTCTTGGAGGTCTGCCTCCTTGTGGCTCTGGGGGATCCCCCCCGGGGGGCAACAGTTGTTGGCCTGGTGAAAAGGTACAGAGTCTCCCCCCAAAGCCCTGCCGTGCTGTGGGCTCTGTAAGTGCTGGGGACGGGGATGAGGGGGCCTCACCCCTTCTTTAGAGGGAGGGGGCAGTCAAGTGGGTAAGAGTTACCCTGAGGTTGGGGGCAGCCACATCCATGCCTCCTAGGTGGAAAAGGATGGCTGGGCCAGAGGCCTTGTCTACAAGGGCCAGACTCCCGGTCCACATGGGGATTCCCGGGTGCTCTCTGGCTACCCTTCTGTGTTCTGGGGACAGGGAGAGTGCTAGAAGCTGATTGGGACAAAAGGCAGAACAACCCTGACAGCGTCCCCCTTACCCGACAGCATCCCCCTTACACTGCAATCCCTGGTTGTTTCAAAAAATGAACGCTTCTATGCCTCAGCATCCTCGTATGTAAACGGGAGGAAACGATAGTACCTGCATGCAGGGGCAGCTGTAAGGCTCTGACAAGGTGTGCTGTCCCCAGAAAGCACTCGCCACAGCACTAGGCCACCATGTTTGCTCACAGGTACCCAAGCGAAAGCACTTGCTCTTAGCCATTGTCAGAGTTCGCAAAATTATAATACTCCTTGCTGGCATCAGTGTGGGGAAATGCGCCAAGTACTGGGAAAGGAGAACAGCAGGCGCTCCATGAACGTTAGTGGTGGCAAAAATCAGTATTGCTGTTCTCATCCGGCCTCATCGTGTGAGATGTTGGATGCGTGGGCCTCAGGGCCGAGAGGCAGCATAGCATGGGCCATAATGTATAGTCTGGAAGCCCTGGCTGCAAGCTCCTTTATCCGTTCACCGCGTAACCTTCTGTAAGCCCTCAGTTTCTTCCTCTGTAAAATGGGTATATCGTAGTGCCTGCATTCGAGGGTTTTTTTTTTCTGAAGACCAAGGAAGATAATGCACAAAACCCATCTAGGACAGTTAGGTGACAATCGGGAGGTGTGAGAGCATCCTTCAAGTGCGCTGCTTAGCATACCTGCTGCATGGTCAGCAGGGGCTGGCTGCCAGGCGCATCTCCCCACCTGAGCAGCATGCGCCTGGGAGTACCACAAATCAGGTTCTGTGGCCTCGCAAGTGTTTTGGGCCGCTCAAGTAATGAGTGGGTGTTCCTAGCGTGCTGTACATGGAATCCATAGAGGAATTCTTTGGAATAGCTATTACTATGATCATCCCCATTTCTTAGATGAGAAACCTGAGGTGTAGACACAGGATGGGACTTGCCTCAACCCATAAATGGTGGAGCCAGAATTTAAACCCAGGATATTTTAACTCCCTGAGCAGTTTTTAACCACTTCCTTCCCTGCTTGCTGCTTGCGAATTCAAAGGTGAATCAGCCATTCCAAGGGATCCTTACAAGCCATTGGATTCTTGGGGGGGAATTACTTGGGCTCCCACACAGAGTTTTCTTGTCTTTCCTGTACGCCGTGGAGTGTTCGCTCCGGAGCAGATGAGATAATGTGTCTGAAATGTTTTGAAAACTGGAACACACGATCTTAACACAGTTGGTAATACACCAAGTAGAAAAATAAAACTTGGTAGAATCCCAACGATGGGTTTTTCCATTCGAATTCATTGGTGTGGTGTTCCTTTAAACAACAGACTGAACCAACTAACCAGCTCTTTGGAAGATAGTCTATTTGGGAGGAGCTAGACAGTGGATGACACGGTGGTGTCACATGCATTCAAAGAAAACGTATGCAACTTCGGTTGCATCTACATTTGTAACCCTTAACAGGAGCACGTGCAGGAAAAAAACAAATTTTGGATCCTCTGTCCCCACCTTGAAAGCACGGGCGCTCTTTAACCGTAGTGAAGTGTTTTCTTCCTCTTAGCTGCAATTAGTATTAATTGCGAGGAAATTGTTCTGGAGTTACATGCAGCTACATTTGAAAATGCACATCTGGTTCCACTTGAGAAACGCACACTATTTTAGCACATGCCCATGAAGCCGAACAATACGCGTTGCATTAATTAGGCCTAAAAAGGCACCTTGCGGACGCAGCCAAACAGGAGGCCAAGCAGTAATGGCGACAGTTTTTACTCCGGGACAAATAGATGTGAAGTTGGTGACAAAATAGAAAATCTGTTTTGAAAGAAGCATTGGGAGCTTTAGGAACCGTATGAAAGGAAACGTAGAAACCTATGCTCAGGGTCCTAGACATGACCCTGTGTTAGATGTCAACATTCGACGCTAAACGCCCTACTGGGGAATCGTCAGCCACGCAACTGTTATGTACGAAGTCACATAAAAATGTCTAATGGAAGTCATTTTTTCCCCCCAGGGAATTTTCTCAGCGACGAATCCGCATCCTGAAATTTTTCTGGTTGCAAGAATTGAAAAGGTGCTCCAGGGAAACATCACGCACTGTGCGGAACCCTACATCAAAAATTCAGACCCAGCAAAGGTATCGATAGAGCTCGTTTGTGAACATTTCAGCTTAATGTAAAATTCGCCTTTTACTGAAATTTTAAATGGTACTGTTAATGACCCCTCCAAAGAGCCTTATTCTCTAAATATGGGGTGCTAGGTGAGTATGCATGTTTCAGTTTGAACATGACTTTTCCCCCCTTTTCATTTATGTTCTGTTTACACGACAGTCTGATTTCTGCTTACTTATCAAAATAAGAGCTAAAGGCTGTTAGGCCACATCTGTTCATTGACACCGTATCCTTGGCAATAGCTACTCTTTATTACCAGCCCTTACATCCAGCCCTAGAATGTCAGAGCTGGGGAGGTTCAGCCCCGCGGTTCCCAAATGCCAGTCTACACTCATACTTCCTCCTGTCTGGGATGAGCAAAAGAAAGACAAGAGAATGAGCGATTCACGCAGCTAAATGTATTCAATTTGAGGGGCCGGCCTCTATGCTGGGATTTTTGTTCTTCCTACCTTTTGAACATTACGCCCGTATGTCTTTCACGAAATGTCGGCAGATGAAATGGTAGCAACTGCTTTGACTGGTGGATGTCTTTGGCTGGCACCGTGAAAAGTCTGTGACCCCTTTAACCGTCTACATTTCTGGATCATGAAATCCAGACTTGTGCAAATTAGTGACCTGGTCCTTTCCTCTCGTTTTATAAATGAGAAAACGGAGGCCCTGAGAGCAAAAGTGTGTGTGGCACAGTTCATGAGCAGCAGTCCAGCTACTGAGTATTTATGAAGAGTCAGTCTGTCGTAGGTGGCATGTAGTTGTGTGTCCAAATAGTGTTTATTGAGCGGAAGAGGCAGAGGAGACATGTGACTAATTTGCGTGGGAGAGAAAAGTCTCAGTGATGTAGATAAGAGCCTCTAGCATTCTGCATCCCCAGGGACAAGCATCCAGCCAGCATTTCACAGCCGGTTTAGCCTCTCTGGGCTGTTAATCTTCCGTCAGCTCCTAGTGCCTGTGCAAACAGCAATTCCTTGCCCAACTAAACTAATTGCGTTGACTCTTGGTCACTCGGCTTTTATCTTGGGAGTAAAAAGGTCAGCTGTATTCAGAACAAACTTCTCCCAAGAATAATGAGTGTCTGCCTGCTCATGTGTGAAAGGAAATACATATTAAAGCTGCTCAAAATTTTCCCAGTAGAGGTCGTTGGTACAAAATGTGCCCTACACCCTACACCTCTTTTCGTCCATCTTCTGATATCTTGATGAAGGCTCTGTTAATGAGAAAACACAGAATGCTTAAAAAAACTCTTGGGGCATCTTAGTGGCTCAGTCGGTTAGGTGTCTGCCTTCGGCTCAGGTCATGATCCCGGGGTCCTGGGCTCCCTGCTCAGCGGGGGGCCTGCTTCACCCTCTCCCTCTGCTGCTCCGCCTGCTTGTGCTCTCTCTATCAAAAAAACAAAAAGAAAAAGAAATTAAAAAAAAAAGAAAAAAGAAAACTCTAGTCTTGGAAAGTGGGTAGCTGACGAGTGTCGTGTTTTCATTGGGAGCTCTTTCTTTATCTCTTTTGCCGGACTTTGATGTTTTACATTGGTAAAGTGGGGGAAGTGATTGTGTATGGTGAGTCTCTGGTCATTCGAACACGTACGAATGTGTCTCCTTATTTCTGCCCCCAGACGGCCCAGAAGGTGCACAGGACAGCAAAGCAAGTGTGTAGCCGCCTTGGACAATACAGAATGCCCTTTGCTTGGGCTGCCAGGTTTGTACAAATATAATCCTGACCTTTCTGTTCACTCTCATCTGTAAAGTTCACAGCTGTTGTCCTTGCCGGCAGCATTTAGCGGGTGGGCTCTGACACGCCAGGTCTGTCCTGGGACACTTGGGATGTGGCTGAGTCCGCTCGGGCTGCTATAACAAACTGCTATGGACCAGGTGGCACCAACAGCAAACATTTCTCTCTCACAGCGCTGGGGGCTGGGAGGCTTGCGATCTGGGTGCCCGCATGGCCAGGTTCTGGTGAGGAGCCTCTTTCAGGCTGCAGACAGCTAGCTGGCTAAGGAAAGGAAGTGAGCCCCCTCTCTGGCCTCTTCTAAGGGCACTAATCCCATTCACGAGGGCTCCACCCCCCTGACCTAATCACCTCCCACATGCCCTTCCTCCTAATACCGGCACCTTGGGGTTTGGGTTTCCATGGAGAATCCATTCTCTTAAAATTTGCTGTGCCTCAAGGAACCTTTCATTTCTTCATCCGTGGTGCTTCAGGGAAATTTGCTTTGGCCTCGGTTCCTGATCTGACTGACACCACTTAATTTTATTGCATTTTAAAGCGGAGCTTATTTGCTAAAGTAATGGAATTTTTTTTTGCCCCCAGAAAACCCAAAATTGTAGTGAATTATGTACAGTGTGCCCACTATTTCAGAGTTGGCTAGGTTTATGCTTCGAAAAGCTATCCTAGAATATTTCTGGAAAACGTCCTAAAAATGAGAAAGCAGAAGAATGCAGTTGTTAAGTGCAAGTGGGTAATTAATTAATAGACTTGCTTTCTGATGACAAATGCAGGAAACCCGTCACGGGTAGTGTATATGGCAGCGTGTTATCTCTAGCTCATCTCTTAGGGTAGGTTACATTCTTTTCTTTTTTCTTTCTTTTTTTTTCCCCAATTCTTGCGTGTCTACATACAGTGATGACTTAAACTGTCTTTCTTGCTTATCCCCCACCTTTGAAGTCCAGGTTCACTGGCTTGTTTGTGGTACAGCCCGTACAGCTCATCGGAACTTTTCGGGAAAGGACACCACGTTCTGAATAATTCAATTATGTTCAGTGGGTATTGGGGAGTAGCATAAGGATAGGAGATTCTAAGTTAATGAGCTCTTCTGTCACTATTTATAATCATTTCATTTGGGGAAAGCTTTCAAAATGTATTGTGTGTTGGTAGATGAAAAGGCACACTTGGCCTTGTTTTGCGGGCTGGTTAAAAAAAAAAAAAAAAAAAAAAAGCCAGGGTCAGGTGAATGGCAGAGAGTCGCGGAGGTTTGTCTATTTAGGCATTAGAGGAGGGGAAGTATGGCTTGTGAACGGACACATCCTTAGTGGTGCTCCGGCCTGAGAGCTCAGTCAGTTGCTGCTGTTGGGATAATTTAGAGTTATCTGCTAACCCACAAGGCAGTGGCCTAAGTGCTTTAATGTGTACCTTCTTGAGAGGTGAGTACTGTTATTCCTACCTTGGAGATGAGGAAATTCAGGCATGGAACTAGTAAAAAAAAAAAAAAAAAAAAAATCCTTGGGGCGCCTGGGTGGCTCAGTTGTTAAGCGTCTGCCTTCGGCTCAGGTCATGAGCCCGGGGTCCTGGGATTGAGCCCCGCATCAAGCTCCTTGCTCAGTGGGGAGCCTGCTTCTCCATCTCCCTCTGCCTGCTGCTCCGCCTTCTTGTGCTCTCTCTCTGTCAAATAAATAAAATTAAAAAAAAAAAAAAAGTCCTTGCCCACTTCACGTAGCATATGGCGGAGCGGGGATCCGAACCCACAGCACGTGACCTCCACCCACACTAGACCACAGCAGCACGCGGCCCACTGCCCAGGCTGTCGGAAGAGCTGTTCGATGCTGTTTGGTCAGTAGAAAAATTAACTTAAAAACCTTCAAAGGTGGAGGCTCTGAACCCCTGTGCTGATGAGGAATTGGGCTCCTTTTTCCTTCCTGCATTGTTTTGGCTGTCAGAAACAGCAAGAACTCACTCTAAAGGCTTGCCTGGGATATTTTAAAGATGTACGCTAAACCCCTGTTTACTGAAAATAAAGGAGGTATGCTTAGAAGTAGGAACAGTGGTTCATGCCTAGAACCACATCTTCAGAGGCTCTGCCAGGGGGGAATTATGTTTTTGGCTAGAGCTGCTTCCAGTGTGTTGGGAGCTTGGACATTACTTCCCATTTTAGCAGTAAGTAGCTGCTTAAAAATGGAAGAAGGGGAAAGGGGGGAGGTAGGGAATCAACCACATTCGTATTTGGAAACTCTACATATCTCTTGTAAATTTCGTATAAATCGACCCTAAAGATCTAACTTAATGGTCATCAACTTTGAGATAAAGCTTTACCTTTGATTCAAATTAATGTGTTTTATATATCTGGCTTGGTGAATTTTCACAAATGTTTCCAGTCATGTGACTACCACGCCAACCAAGATCTGGACCGTTTCTATCACTTCAGAAAATTTCCTCATGCCCCTGTCCAGTCAGCCATCCCACTCCCATCAGTCAGCCACCAATCTGATGGTTATCACTACAGATGACTTTTTTCTATTCTAGACCTTCATACAAATGGAATCGTGCAGTATGTACTCTTGCATTTGGTTTCTTGTGCTTAGTCTGGTTTTGAGATTCATCCATATTGCTGTATGTATCAGCCCTTCACTCTGAGTAGTATTCCATTGTATGAATACACGACTGTGTATCCATTCACTTGTTGATGAATATCCGGGCTGTTTCCTTTTGGGGATATAACAAATAAGTCAGCTATGAACATTTAGTGCCATGTGGAAATATGCCTAGGAGTGGACTTACAGGATCAGAGGGTGAGTGTGTGTTGAATTTCATGAGAAATTACCAAACGAGTTTTCCAAACTGGTTGTACCACATCATACACACACCAGCACTAAGTTTGTCATAATTTGTCAATACTTCAGAATTAAAAAAAAAAAAATTCTATTGCCGTTTTAGACCCATTTTCAAAGATACTCAAGGTTCTCTGGATCTGGATGGGAGATTTTCTCCTTTGTATAAACAAGACAGTAGCAAGCTTTCAAATGAAGACATTCTCAAGTTGCTCTCAGAATACAAGAAGTAAGTGTGTTACTGTAGTAAATCAGTAAAATAGATGAATTATAATTTCTTGAAATGATGAATGTGAGTCATACATGGGAGAAACTGAATGCTTTGGAGCATTTTTGGATTTGGAAGCATTTGGAAGCCAGTGCATTCAGTCATCATAAATTTTAAGTATAAAATATTTCTTATTTTACACCTAGGCCAGAGAAGACCAAATTGCAGATTATTCCTGGGCAGCTCAACATCACAGTAGAATGTGTTCCTGTGGATTTATCAAGTAAGAATTCACGTGTTACAAATAAACCTTAAAGGGCTATGTTTGAATCTCAAATTTTCATCTTTTTAATACATTTCTTGAGGTTTACATGGTGTATAAAGTTCCTAGGGCTGTGTAAGAAATGCCTACAAACTGGGTGGCTTAGGATGACAGATTCATTCTCTCACGGTTCTGGAAGCTAGAAGTCAAGATCAAGGTGGGGCGCCTGGGTGGCTCAGTTGGTTAAGCGACTGCCTTCGGCTCGGGTCATGATCCTGGAGTCCCGGGATCGAGTCCCGCATCGGGCTCCC